ATATAGTGAAGATATCAACGAATAAGAAGTGATTATGGGGGAAAATTTTGATAATTGAGTACAAAAATTGGTTTGAAATTAAATAATCTATATATTGATCATGATGAAAATAGCGATCATGAGGATGGAGTTGTCAAATCAAAGTATATAATAACTTAGATGCAAAATATATTTGAAATAAACACATATTAGATTTCATATATTAATCTATTATCATCATTATATTTTCATATTTATTATGCTTATTGATAAATTTAACATTGAAAAAGAGAAAAACATCTTGATTATAAGTTAAAATTCACTTTTATCATTGAACAATAGTATCACTTGGTGTATTTTCAAGAAATCAATAGTATAAACAATACTTTAATGTTGATTCAGTTAGTAATTTTTACAAAGTAAATAATCAAAAACATCAAATAGGATCTCTATAATTTTTCGAATAAAATATATGTACAGACCACAGATGGTCAGCTGCCCCCGAGACAGTTAGGGGCGTATTTATCATAGGGAGTCGGTGTTAAGTATGATACAGAAATGTGATGTACAATTTACTTTAACCTTCTAACTTCTTCTCCAGCTGGTCCTCTGAGACAGATGGGGACCCATCTATCACAGAGAGTCGATGTTAAGCATGATTTAGAAATATGAGAGTTGGTGTTAAACATGATATAAAAATGTGATGATACTTTAACCTTCTAACTTTTTCTCCAATTGGCCCCTTGAGACAGATGGGGACCCATCTATCACAGGGAGTCAGTGTTAAGCATGATATAGAAATGTGACGTGAAATTTAGTTTAACCTTCCAACTTTTTCTTCATTTGCCACCAAAACCCTTTCCCGCCAGGAGTACGGATGATTCGAGAAGGAATGTAATGAAAAGTGAGGAATGTCGCATCAATGGTGAATCTTGATTTCATGCGTCAACTCCTCCATGTGCTTCCCACTTCTCCTTTTATTTTTTGATTTTTTTTCTTCAAAATTTAGAAGGGCAAAAGTCAAATTAAAGATCCCATCATATTATTCCAAATTTCAAATTCTTAATTATGCAAGCATGTGGGGACTAGCCTAGCAAAACCTTCATAATTACAGCGTGCNATATAGTGAAGATATCAACGAATAATAAGTGATTATGGGGAATTTTTTTGATAATTGAGTACAAAATATCAATCATGAGGATGGAGTTGTCAAATCAAAGTATATAATAACTTAGATGCAAAATATATTTGAAATAAATACATATTAGATTTCATATATTAATCTATTATCATCATTATATTTTCCATATTTATTATGCTTACTGATAAATTTAACTTTGAAAAAGAGAAAAACATCTTGATTATAAGTTAAAATCACTTGGTGTATTTTCAAGAAATCAATAGTATAAACAATACTTTAATGTTGATTCAGTTAGTAATTTTTACAAAGTAAATAATCAAAAACATCAAATAGGATCTCTACAATTTTCCAAATAAAATATATGTAGAAGACCACAGATGGCCAGCTGCCCCCGAGACAGATGGGGGCGTATTTATCATAGGGAGTCGGTGTTAAGCATGATACAGAAATGTGATGTACAATTTACTTTAACCTTCTAACTTCTTCTCCAACTGGCCCCCTGAGACAAATGGGGATCCATCTATCACAGAGAGTCGATTTTAAGCATGATATAGAAATGTGAGAGTGGGTGTTAAGAATGATATACAAATGTGATAATACTTTAACCTTCTAACTTTTTCTCCAATTGGCCCTTTGAGACAGATTGGGACCCATCTATCACAGAGAATCGGTGTTAAGCATGATATAGAAATGTGACGTGAAATTTACTTTAACCTTCCAACTTTTTCTTCATTTGCCACCAAAACCCTTTCCCGCCAGGAGTACGGATGATTCGAGAAGGAATGTAATGAAAAGTGAGGAATGTCGCATCAATGGTGAATCTTGGTTTCACGCGTCAACTCCTCCATGTGCTTCCCACTTCTCCTTTTATTTTTTGATTTTTTTTTTCTTCAAAATTTAGAAGGGCAAAAGTCAAATTAAAGATCCCATCATATTATTCCAAATTTCAAATTCTTAATTATGCAAGCATGTGGGGACTAGCCTAGCAAAACCTTCATAATTACAGCGTGCTTTTTCACCCACAAGCGTTAGGCATGTTTACTACCAAATCACTTAGTGCATGTTCGAGATCGAGCCCAGAGCCCCATTCATCTGTAAGAATGTATTTTGAAATAGTAGATTGATAAAAAATAAAAAAAATTATGAATTTACGTGTAATATTATTTTATTAAAAAATAAGTGATTGAAAAGAAAAACGAAAAATACATTTTGAAAATAATGGGAATAAAAAAGGACACTCGTTGCACATTGGTCCAAACTTAATTTTTATTATTTATTTTTAGCCTAATTCAACTCGGATCGAATCTCTTTTTCTACCAAGTAAAATCATCAAGAAGACATGAAAGTTACTTTCAATAATTATAAAATAAATAACAAAGACATTCTTATATGAAATATCCGACCGACTATAT